CTGTATGTCCCTCCCTCTAATTAACCTTTAATTGATTAATTAATTATAATTATCTCTAACTAATAAATTAATTGATTCGTTTGATTTAATTTCAGAAACAAAAGCAAGATCTGGCCAGGGAACTCAATCTCCGGCCCCGACAAGTTGAAGTCTGGTTCCAAAACAGACGTGCCAGGTAATTAATTAATTAATTCCAATTTCAATTTCGATTCGATTTCATACACTGTGCTAGTCCCTTTTGTAATTAATTAAGGAATTAGTTAATTAACGGCGTTGTAATTAATATCTAACAGAACAAAGCTGAAGCAAACGGAAGTAGACTGCGAGTTTCTGAAGAAATGTTGCGAGACGTTAACGGAGGAGAACCGGAGGTTACAGAAGGAGGTGGCAGAGCTGAAAGCGTTGAAGGTGTCGCAGCCGCCGCTGTATATGCAGCTGCCGGCGGCGACGCTCAGCATGTGCCCGTCGTGTGAGAGGATCGGCGGCGGCGGCTCAGCCGTGGAAACGCCAAATAAGAAGATCAACCCTTTTACGATGATGGCTCCCAAACCTCATTTCTTCAACCCATTCACCCACCCATCCGCTGCCTGTTAGTTGATTTACGTGTTTAACCATTCACCTATTCCTAGCTATAAACACATATTGCATCACGATCATATCTATTTTATAATTATTACTATTAGTCTATATATATAAATACGTCTGATATTTATATAGTGGATATACATAGTACATCTGATCTGAAACGTACCCCCCAACCACCTTTTTTTGGTGTGGGCTTGTGATCGTCCAAAAATGGTTAATTAATTATCATGTAAGTAGAGACACAAATTAGAGATTACTAATCAATCTCTTTGTTTCTTTGTCATATATGTTTTGTAAATCTTAATGATTTATTAATAGATTATTGGTGTTAATAATATTGTTATTATCATTATTGTTACTATGAATTGTTTTTTGATTCGTATAATTCACCTTCATTTCAATTGTGAACTCACGATTATGCGATGTATGACTATATCACGTACGTAATTCATTGGACTTGCCGAATTCCATTCAATAATTGAGGTAAAGAACCCAGCAAAGGTAGCAAAAGTGATAGCGGGAAAGGGGAAAAAGGCAAATGATTCGAGAAATTAATTATTTAAACACGGTCAATGCAACTTGCATGATACTTATCAATGTTAGACTTAATTAAATTCCTAAATACGAGTAAAGCAAGTCTTATATGCGACCAGATGGAGTATAACTTTCCGTATGTTCCTAAAGGAGATATTAGCGGTAAAGGCTAAAGAGACAATCATCACAAGCATAATTGTAACTCAAAACTATATACGGAGTATAAGGCCGGATTCCAACAACTTGCAGCCTCAATGCTAGGCTTGTTCAACTCGCATCACCTTTGTTCACCTTTGTTTAGTGCCCGTTGTGGCACCGTCTACCCATAATTTACTCTCCTTTTGAATAGGTTTGTCAAATTCACTTTTCTTCGTTAATGACAACCAACTTTGATCAATGATATTTTTAATACGAAATTATGTTGAATATGAAAATTATATCAAAATGTTCATTATTCAAAATATTTTCATAAAAGTATAAAATTTATAAATTATATAGAAATACGGAGTATAATAATTCAAATCATTGTCCAAAGTTTGCAACCATTGACCAAGAAAAGTCAGTATGACAAACCTTTCGGGACGGAGGTAGTATATGAGAAAAGGGGCAAGTAAGCCCTCGAACTTTTTGTGATTTTGTAATCAGGCCCATGAACCAAAAGACTTACAGAAACACCCCTCAACTCGTTGAAAGTTAAGGAATCGGATACGTTTTACCTGTTGGTGTCGGTAATTTCTCTTCTCCTTACCTGCATCAACGGGTAAAACATGATCTAATTGCTTAATTTTCAATGAGTTGAGTACTTGAGTGGTGTATTTACAAGTATTTTCGAGAGCTTATTTGCCCCTTTTCTAAATTTAAGCTCTCTTTGATAATACATATTTTCGAGTTATCATATTAATTAAATTATTGAGTTGACTATTAAAGTCTTATATCGGATATATCTTAAAGAATTAAACATTATACTCCCTCCGATTGTGATTCTCCTTTACAGTTTGACTTCACAGTTTTTAAGGAAATAAATTTGACTTTACTGTAGAGTACATTGTTTGACGCTGTTTGACACTGTTTGACACTGTTTTGTCTAGATTTGTTTGCCAAATAAAGCAAATAAGGAAGTGTAAAGATGATTCTGGGATAGCCCAAAAAGGAAAGTGTAAAGAAGATTCAGAACCAGAGGAAGTATTAATATCTGAGCTACTCCTATCAGGTTGACCTGTTAGGATGGAATCACAGAATCTTAACATTGACGGGATGAAGGAACAAATTTTAAGCATTTATGTTTCAATATTAATACAGAGTATAATTTTTACAAATTTCAGCTCAATCAGTTACGTCACTTCAATAAGAGCATCTTCAATAGTTCCTTGTAGGGACTTGCTTGCAATTTGAAGCTACTAGTTTACGAGCATTGCTCGTCCTTTTGCTTGAGAAAGCTAATTAGGCCAAATGAGCTACTAGCTTGAGCAACGAGAATATTAAATATAGCATTATAAATAATAAATGAAGAAAAAAGATTATAGCTGACCATTGGAGTATATTTCAATTTTGCTACAAAAGCTTACGTGGCTAACCGCTGGAGATGCTATAATTATATTACTTTCATCAGCAAATTTCATTCTCACCAAACATTCTTTTAGAGCTCGTATGATGACTCTATTTTTCGACTTATCACACTTATCAGTCAACTTTTTAATTAAATACGTAACTTTTGATTTCACGCGCTAATTTGTGTAATAATAAGAAAAGGTAAGGTTAGAGTTACTTTTCTGGCTTTATTGGCTGAAGTTACTGCAAAAGACTATTTTTCCTATTTTTCCATATTTTTTTTATTTTATTAATAAAATATATTTTAAATATCATTTTTCATAAATCAACATAATCAGCCAATACAGTCACTTCGGCCAGAACTTCATAATTTCAGCACAATCAACCGATTTTAGTGTTACCAAATGAGCTCTTTGTGTCCCAAATTTAGTAAATCCTCATTTTATTACAAATTTGCATTGAAATGTAAAATATTGAAAAGGAATTAAGGAAAACATTTAGGCAGTGTTTGGTTGAAGGTAATATCACATATAGGGCGGAATCTGATGTCCGGAATGTGAGATACCTGTGTTTGGTTCGCGGGTTTGATTTTTGTTTTTGGAATGTTAGATGTCCAAAAGTAAAAAAGGTAATCAGATGACCCGTTATCTGAAACCCACCACAGGCTTAGGTTTTATAAGATTCCCGGTTACTTCATAATTTTCTTCCAAAAAAACCCTACGCTTCATTATACGCAGCTCTCTTCCTGCTTGAAACACATGACCGCAACTCTCTTCTTCTGAGGAACGTCCGACACAGCTCTCCATCTTCAAAATCTAGTAATTTCTTTCTCTATTTTTCAAGTTTGTGTATGTTATCTTCTACTCCCTCCTTGTTCAATCAAACCACAAACTTAATCCATGTTAGGCGATTAAGTGCGAATTAGGGTTACATTCAATGTCAATATAGCTGCTTCCAACAGCTTGCTTATGGATGAAATGAGAAGAGTACTCCTCAGAGCCAGAAAATGGACAAGAACTGGTCAATCTGCTACCTATTTTTGGGTAACCTGATCTGTGATAGTTTTGGGTTCGAAAATGAAACAAATTACTCTAGGCTATAGTCATTAAAGACCAGCTAAGTTATACCACGTGCATCAGTTTAATTTGAAGCAACCTAAATATTAGATTTTAGGCTACACCTATGACAATATCAAATTCGGTGTTTAATTTAGTTCAGTGGTTCCAATATAATCACTATTATATTAGGCCATCATCAAGATACATGTATTAATATTCACATCTATACTTAACAACCTTTATTCTAACGTTTTATCTTTTATTAAGTTATTTACTAGACCCCATTAATAATAATGTATTTATTATGATACTTAAGCAGAGTCCACTTCCCCACCTTATAAACACTACAAACAATGGGAAGATTGTGAACTATAGGAAGCTATGCAAAGATGTCAACTTTTTTCCTTTAAAAAAAAAGAACATGTAACATAGGAAAAAGGAAAAGTGAATAAAGTGACTAATCTAATACAATTCTTAACTTCTTATACACCACTCCATTTAGTATTCTAACCTCTTTTAAGTAGAATGAAACGTAGAGCAGGGGATAAGAAAAAAAATCAGATTATAGGGTTAATTTTTACTTGGTAGTTTATGATTAATCCTCATTTAATTTTCTTTAACCTTCTTCTAAGTAGAGCAGGGGAGTCATATCTTCCTTTTAGTGCTATTTAAACTCAAAATGTACATTCTGGTGCATTAGTTTGAGTAGTTATTAAAGAATATAGTAGTATTTGTCCACATATTTGAGTCTTATGTATTATATAATTGTTTTAGGTTATATGGCTCGATTGCCAATTCAAAAGAAGATGCACTTGGCCACTGTTTTAACTTTGCAAATGATGGAAATGGAAATAAAACATGCTTCTCATGATGATTTTCATTGCAATTTGTTTACTTATTAAGAGAAGTAATAACAGGAGAGGAATTAGCTATGCTCATATGTTCAATAGGAGACATAACTTAAGGACATTGAATTTGTGGGAGATGGTTTTTGAGAACGATACTTCATGTGTTGATAATTGTAGAATGGATAGGCGTGCCTTAAAAAAACTATGTTATTTGCTTAGAACCGTTGGTAGATTGAGGGAAAGCAGGAACATGAGCATTGAAGAAATGGTGATATCATTTCTTCATATCATTGGACACAATATAAAGAATAGGGTTTTGAAACGACAAGTGGCAAGGTCAGGTGAAACAGTCGGTAGACATTTTCAGTCTGTTTTAAATGTTATTATAAGACTGCATAGCATATGTTTTAAGAAACCAGAACCAATACCAGAGACTTGCATGGATGAAAGATGGAGATGTTTTAAGGGTTGTTTGGGTGCATTAGATGGTACATTCATCAAGGTTCATGTTACTGCGGAGGCGAGAGCAAGATATAGAACAAGGAAAAGTGAAATTGCTACTAATGTCTTGGGTGTTTGCACACCAGACATGCAATTTATATACGTGTTACCAGGTTGGGAGGGCTCTGCTGCAGATGGTAGAGTACTCAGAGATGCAATTAATAGGAAACACGGATTGAAGGTTCCACAAGGTAATATATATATATATATATATATATATATATATATATATATATATATATATATATATATATATATATATATATATATATATATAATGTGATAACTTTGAAACCATATGTTAAGTTCAAGAATTGTTTATTCTGATTTTAATTATCACTTTAAACTGCCATATATAGGGAATTATTATCTTTGTGATGCTGGATACACAAACGGTGAAGGATTTTTAGCACCGTATAGAGGTCAAAGGTACCATTTGAGCGAGTGGAAGCAAGGTGTCCAACCTGTAAATGCCCAAGAATACTACAATATGAAACACTCTCAAGCAAGAAATTGCATTGAGAGATGTTTTGGTATTTTAAAGAAAAGATGGGCTGTTTTGAGAGATAAATCATTTTATCCATTAAAAACTCAATGCAGAATCATCACTGCGTGTTGCATTCTTCACAACTTCATTAGATCTGAGATGTCCATTGATCCTATTGAGGCTGAGCTTGAGAGCGATACTGATGATGATTCGGGTGATGATGAGGAGTTGATAAGACATTGCGAGCCTAGTGTTGCTTGGACTGAATGGAGAGACAAGTTAGCTGATGATATGTTCACTTCTTGGACAAATAATTAATAGTGATGTTTTATTAATGTCGTTTACTATTTCAGCTTTATTTGGACGCATAATTATTAATGTCATTTACTATTTCAACTTTATTTGGACATAAAACTACTAATATGCTTTATATATTCGTGTTGTATTTGTAATTTGTTCTGTTTAATTTTAATTCCTCTTTGTTAATTAAATACTTGTTTTAATTATATTAATATGTATTTATCATTTTATTGTTAGTATTATATGTTATTTTCTTCTGATGATAAGTACAGGAAATGGATCCGAAAAGTTTGAAAGAAAAGACAACTACTAAGCAACAAAAAGGAACCAGTGTCAAGAAATCAATTGCTACTAAGCATCAATGGACAAATTCTGAAAACAAAGCTCTAGTGGACTGTCTTGTTGATCTCTGCCATGACCCTTGCTGGAAAGGAGAAAATGGCTTCAAAACTGGATACTTGGGTCATCTAGAAAAGATGATAAAAGTGAAAGTCCCTGGAACCGATATTAGGGCTAATCCTCATATTGAGTCTAGAACAAAGTTGTTGAAAAAACAATATCATGCCATTTCTGAAATGCTAAATCATACAAGTGGCTTTGGTTGGAACGAAGATGACCATTGTGTGACATGTACCAAGGATGTATTTGATGACTGGGTTAGAGTTGAGTATTTATACCTTTTCTGAAATATTTAAAAACTTATAATATAGTTATCTACCATATAATTCTAATATTGTTTGTGTCCTTCCTATGTGTAGAGTCATCCAAGTGCTCATGGTTTAAGGAACAAACCTTTTCCACACTATGATGAACTAGTTGAGGTGTTTGGGAAAGACCGAGCTACTGGTGAAGGAGCCGAGACTGCAGCTGATGCGATTGAAGAGCTTGATGAAGTTGGAGAAGAAACTGATTTTCAAGATGATGAAGTAGGAGATGATGAAACTGATTTTGGAAGTGCATATGGTGAAGGTCAAATGAATAATACAGGGGCTAGTGCAAATGCTGCATCTGGTAGCCAAGCAACAAGCAAGGCATCAAGCAAGAAAACTGGAATTGTGACTAGCAAAAAGAGGAAAGTGCGGGATGACGGTTTAACTAATTTGGTTGTTGAGATTGGAAAGTTTGCATCTTCTTACCAGGAGAACACCGAGTGCCTCAAAAGTATTTCTTCCTTCTTTAGCAAAGAAGCTGCTGAGAGTGACAGAAAGTTGATGATTTTTGAGGAGATCATTAAATTGGAGGCTTTCTCAAAAGAAGAAGTGATGGATGCAGGTGAGCACATATTGAAAGATGCTCACAAGCTTGACACCTTTTATGCTCTCCCTATGGCATTTAGAAAGAATTATGTCCTAAAGCAATTGGGAGATTTGGCTCCATACCAGCCCACCTTTGACTTCTAAATATCCTTCTGAACTAGTTAATTTTGAATTGTAATATCTCCAAACTTTAATTTTGCTAGTATATTGTGATCATCCTGGGAGTAAATACAAATGCCAGTGATAGATTCTGTGCAATTGTATTATTGTCTTTTTGCTACTGATATGTAACTTGTAAGTTGCGACATTGACTTGCTTTTTTGCTACTGATGTTCACTAATTTTTGTCATTTGTGCAATTAAACATATTTTGCTTTACTAGAGACAATTATGTTGTTGATATACCAATAACATTTGTAACATCTTTGTCAAAACCAATGCGAATGAAAAGTGAAATACAGGCAGCTTCTGGAACTGTTGATATACCAAAAACTGTCAAGGTAGCTTTTGAAGGTCAATTATGCTCTTTTCCCTTGCCTTGATTATCAGAAGTGTTTCATACACCCTTTCTGATGCTTTGTAGGTACAGACAGGTTACTTTTGATGGTAAGAACCACATTTATTCCCTAAGTCCAACCTTGTGCTCATTAAAGACCCCATCTGCCAAGAAAATAGATATATTGAGATGAGGCAGTCTACTAAGATGGAGAAGGCTGCAAAAACTGTATCAGAGATCAGCTTGGAGGTTGATAGGCTTGGCGGGCAGGTAGTTTGTGTATAAATTTCAATTCCAGTTGAGAAAAGGGGAAAACAGTAAATTGTGATAACTAATCAGATTTATTATGGGATTACAAGCAGGTATCTGCACTTGAATCTGTGATTTCAAGAGGAGGTAAAGTTGAAGAAAAGACACTAATAACTTTGATCGAGTTGCTAATGAATCAACTTTTTAAACTGGATGGTATTGCTGCGGATGGTGATGTGAATAAAGCATGGGGTTACTCCTAAACTCTTTCATAAATAATAGAATAATGAAAGCCTTAGTTTTGGTAGAGCCATTGTATGTGTGTATTGTCACTCTCTTCTTTCACCACTCATGTCATATGTTATGATGTTTGGTATCTGCCTCTGGCTGCTACTATAACAACAAGAATAATCTCCATTCTTTTGTGTATTTAGAGGTTTTGCTAGGTTCATTCCTTCAGGCCTTTAGATACTTTACTTTGAATAAATAATTGGTGTAGAAGGATGGGGAAAATGTGGGACTTATGATGATCATGATTCAGATATTCTTTGTTTGGAGTGTTGTTTTCTATGCTTTTGTTTTTCTATTTAGCGCAGCATACATAAAACATTCTTAGAACAACTCCCATGATGAATTAATTTAACGAAACAAAAAAAACATAACTCTCCATATAAATGCTAAAAAAAACTCCCAGTTGGTCTTAGATGCCACCCCTCAAAGATTAAACATGCATGCAGCACATGCATATTACGGTCGAGATGACCTTGAGACACTCATGGCCTCTGATTCTGTTACGTTGCTGATTGGGTATCTATAATCTTTACTTCTTTAGCACTTGTATTTGTCTATAATCTATAATCATCGTCTTCTTTAAAGACTTAAAAGTGTCCTTCAATTTTAGTTTGTTTTGTAACTTGGGTTCCCTCATGTCTGGCTGCAGATAAGGATCTTTATAAATTAAACATATTTCGCTTAAAATTATTTACTAATGTTCACTAATCTTAGTCATTTGTCCAATTAAACATACTTTGCTTAAAATCAATCCAATTAGTTTTGATTTTAATTACTACGTATTATTATTAAGATGTTCTATTTTTCTATAAATTTTAATTACTTTAATTATAGGTTGTAATGAGTTAATGTGTTAAGAGACAAATATTTAAAGGGTAATTACGTAATTTACCAAATATGCAATATAAGATATCACTCAACCAAACAACGTAATGTCACATTCCCTTAATCGTAACCAAACACAAATGAGTTACACATTCATCACATTCCCATCCATCTAACATACCCGGTAATCTAACATTCCCATGGCAATCTGACATCCCTTGAACCAAACATACCCTTAAGATTTTTTTTTACAAAACCTATATACATTCATGATCCATCTTCAAATAAGCTTCATATAAGTAGTTGCGGCTAAAACTTAGAGGTCCTTTGGCAACATTGTTTTTCGGCTTATCAGGCTTATCAGCCAGCTTTTTCACCAAACACGTAATTTTTGCTTTCGCGCGCTGAATTGTGTAATAAGCAGAACAAGTAAGGTTGAAGTTACTTTTCTGGCTGTATTGACTGAAGTTAATGTAGATGACAATTTTAACTATTTTCACATGTAATTTTTCTTTGTTTTATTAATAAAATATATTTTAAATTTTTTTCCTTAAATCAGCTGAATCAGCCAATGCAGCCATTTCAGCCAGAACTTCATAAATTTCAGCAGAATCAGCCAAACAGTCGATTTTGATGCTATCAAACGGGCTCTTAATATTCTCCATTTCTCCTAATAACATACTCTCTCAGGAAACAATAGAACTTGATGTATTTTATTTTGAAACAATAAAATTGTAGATAAATTGTACGTAGTAGTATGATATGTCGGGAAATTTATTTGTGGATCATAATAAAATTGAATAAAATTGTGCATATTTTTGGTTACATAAGATTAATAACATGGCTTTTATGTGCATTGTAGAAGGATCGACGCCGGAAGTAGTGGAATTGGTCGCGAGGCGCAGCTGTTACCACAACTGTTACTTGCTACGATTGTTGTACGTTATTTGATTTAGACCCATGATAATTGTAATTTCTTACTCCAAATGAAGTAAGGGTGCAATTTTTCTTCAAATAATAACAAAGTTGAATCCTAAGTTGCACGGAAACGCGAAAATCATGAGGAAACGGGAAACGGGAAACGTCAACTTTTGTTCAAAAAAGGCTTATTTGGAGAGTTTCCAAAGAGTTTCCGAGAGTTTCCGAAACGGGAAACGTACTCTTTCCCGAGAGTTTCCGTGCTACCTAGGTTGAATCCAAGCATGTAGTGATTAGATGATGTTACTGTGATACTCTATATTATCAATGAGATTGATATTTGTCAGAACCTATATTATCATAAAAAGAGAAAGTACAAAAAAAAACTTAGTTGAATAAACACATTACATTCTCCAAATAAATATTACCAAATTCACACAACTTAATTGATACAAAGTATATATAAAGATCAAATAAATGTACAAAATACATAAAAAATAGATTAATACACCCTACTCATCATAATTAACCTACATACTTGGTACACCCTACGTCCCATTAAAATTGTCTCATTTTCCCATTTTCATCTGTCTC